AATTGAGAAGAAGTGTGCTGGTGCCCATTTTTTAAGAACAAGGGTGATGCACAAAGTTGTAGCAACTACATGGGAATTAAGTTGAGCCACACGATGAATATCTGGGAGAGAGTTGTGGAAGCAAGACTTAGACGAGAGGTGACTATCTGTGAGCAGCAGTATAGTTTCATGCCAAGAAAGAGCACCACAGATGCTATCTTTGCTTTGAGAATGCTGATGGAGAAGTACAGAGAGTGTCAGAGAGAACTCCATTGTGTCTTTGTGGATTTAGAAAAAGCATATGACAGAGTGTCAAGGGAGGAGGTGTGGTATTGCATGAGGAAATCTGGAGTGGCAGAAAAGTATATTAGACTGGTACAGGACATGTATGAGGACAGCAGGACAGTGGTGAGATATGCTGTAGGAGTCACAGATAGCTTCAAGGTGGAGGTGGGATTGCATCAAGGTTCGGCTCTGAGCCCCTTCTTGTTTGCTCTGGTGATGGACCGACTAACAGATGAGGTCAGGCAAGATTCCCCATGGACGATGATGTTTGCAGATGACATTGTGGTCTGGGGTGAGAACAGGGAACAGGTGGAAGAGAACTTGGAGAGGTGGAGGTATGCACTTGAAAGAAGATGAATGAAAGTCAGCTGTAGTAAGACAGAGTACATGTGTGTGAATGAAAGGGAGGCTGGTGGAACAGTGAGGCTACAAGGAGCAGAGGTCACAAAGGAGCATGACTTCAAGTACTTTGGGTCCACTGTCCAGGAAAATGGGGAATGTGGTAAAGAGGTGAAAAAGAGAGTCCAAGCAGGATGGAGTGGATGGAGAAAAGTTTCAGGAGTGATTTGTGACAAAAAGGTGTCAGCAAAGGTCAAAGGAAAAGTTTACAAGACAATGGTGAGACCAACTATGTTGTATGGCCTGGAGACAGTAGCACTGACAAAAAGACAAGAAAGAACTGGAAGTGGCAGAAATGAATATGCTAAGGTTCTCCTTAGGAGTGACAAGGCTGAATATGATTAGGAATGAGATCATCAGAGGTACAGCACAGGTTGAACAACTGGGAAATAAAGTTAGGGAGGCCAGACTGAGATGGTTTGGAGATGTCAAGAGGAGGGACCATGGATATATTGGTAGAAGGATGTTAGAAATGCAGCTGCCTGGAAAAAGACAAAGAGGAGATATATGAATGCAGGTAGAGAGGACATGGAGGTAGTTGGAGTGAGGACAGAGGATAGACAGAGTGAGGTGGAGGAGGATGACTCGCTGTGGAGACCCATGAAGAGGGAAAAGCCGAAAGAAGAAGAAGCAATGCCAATGCAAATTAACAATGATAGTGCAAAAAATTGTAGTCTGCTAATTAAATTGGATTAATAATTTATTTTTTTCATTGACCCTTTATTTATCCAGGTAGTCTCATTGAGCCACAATAACTCATTTTCAAGAGAGACCTGTTTTAGGGAGCAGATGGGGGGTTAAGGGCCTTGCTCATGGACCCAGAGTGGGGCGAATGAGGGTGGGGGCAAGTGTGGGTGCTTCACTTACCCCACCCACAATTTTTTTGAAGTTGCCAAGGCCGGGGCATGAACCGGCGATCTTCGGATCACAGGCCCACCTCTCTAACCTCTGCGCCACCACTCCCCAAATAAGTATACAATATGTTCTGATATACAGTAGTCCCTCTACTTTGTGGTTTAACTTTCTCGAACTCACTGTTTCGTGGGTTTTCAGAGTAAGACTGTAGAAAGTAATTGTGCAGAAAGTACTGTGCCACACTTATAGGGGGCAGTGCTGCCCCACAGGGACAATGAAGCAGGTGCTGTTGCTGTGCATTCTTCTGTTACACGGGAAGGGGGGTGGGGGGGGGGAGGTAAACGGTACACTTATTTAAATTTGTTTAGACAAAACGGAAGATCATATATTAAAACTAAAGGGTTTTTTCTAAACTTGATTTTCAGCCAAAACAGATAAACAATAGATAAAGGGACCAGAAAGTAAGGCTAAATTGAAATATATGCTTCTATTTTGGGTTCATATTGTGAGCATCCAATTCCAGACGAGTCAGTGTGTCACATGTCACAGAGCTCACCGCACGTCACTGGTCAGACTACAGGTATCCTGCCTCAGAAACAGTGGTTTGGAGAAGAGATGAATCTTGGTTCTGAATTACCGCAAATGGTCACTGTGGTGGCACCAAGGATAAAAAGATCACTCTAGCCAGTGTCGTGAACGTGTGCATTAGTGTTACTCCTGTCAACCTGGTGAAAGAGTACGTATACCTGCACTTGTGATTCAAGGAACCTTGCTGGGAAAACACTGTCTTGACAGTCACCCTTTCTGTCAATGTAAGTGGATTATTTAAAAAAAAATAATCCCACTTAACAAAATCAGCTGAGCAGAGGCCTTAAAGTCTTGTCTCATGTCTCATACATAACTTCTCACAAGGCTGAAATACAGCTGTTCAGATAAACCGTGCCGCTTTTTACATGTTGTTTTCTCCCTCGTTAAGCTGCATATTTTATCTCACATGGTGTCACTGACAGTTTATTAAAAAGTCGGAATGCTAATTAACCAGACGCATAAGAACAGTCAAGGAAAACTAGAATGAACAACAGCCCTGTGCTTTGTGGGATAATGTAATATTCTCCTCTCCTTGTTGTCATTTTGTGTTCATCCTTCACTTTATGTCGCCCAAGCATACAGGAGTGTCCTTGTACACTTTTATTTGCCCAAAGTGATACTTGGATTCACCAACAGACTGGAAAGTCTACTCATACACAGAGATAAATTATTAAGAACCTAATTTATGACTTTTAAGGTAAAAAGTTAGATCTTTTCAAGCATCTCAGCAAACTCTTTACTCCAACCTCAGCAAGATGATATACGTTGTAAATAAAAGCTAAATGCATGGAAGTCTTCAGCCTCTCCTTCATGCATGTACTCATCTGCTAACTTATTTCTTAAAAAAAAAAGAGGAGCTTTGAGTGTTTATTCCTAAAAAAATAGTTGATGCAGTGAGCAATATGTAATCATTAGTGATTTAAATAAAAAGTGGCGTTCCTGCTAGCTGTTTGATTATAATTAAATTACATTCTTCCCCAGGGGAAAGAAAAAAAAAACCTCATTTCTATGTGGTGTGCCACAGTGGGAACCAGTGACACAAAACGACTGAGGGGAGATAGAGGGGCTGACAAATTATAAAACATGTGTAATTTAAATGATGGCTTTAAGGAAAACTGTGGAAAACTGCAGGAAAAATAAAAAACAAATAACACTGAAGAGTTCAAATGTGCAGCAGATGCAACAGGAGTGCTGAAAATGAAGGTGGCAATCCTCCTTCATCTGTTATCTCAGTAAGTCCCAGCTAGAATCAATCGAGTGTCTGTGACAGTCAATAATGTTGGGTTTAAAGGCCGATGAGAGGCAAGGTTCATCTGTAGATGAGGCAGAGGCGTGGGGGCAATCAATGAGCAATAGGCGAGAGCTCGCCACACGCCACCACTCCAACCACGGAGTTTACACATTCACAAGTTTAACTCGTTTCATCTGATTTGCCTGAAAGTCTGCGTCACAACCGATCCAGTGGTCTTCAGAAATATTGTCCAGTTCTTTGGAGGGGTAAAAAAAAAGGAGGCGGTGTCGCATGTCAGAAGGTGATTAAGCACAGAGTTTCGAGAAACAAAACGAGGCTCGAACAAAAGTCGTCAACAAACAAAAAGAGAAAGTGGAAGGAAATTTGCTTGACTGATTTCTACAGAGAGCAGGTAAACATGTCATTTTCACGTTGCTGCACGCCTCCCTGTGTGCTTTGAGTTGCGCTGTAATCTTTATTAAAACAGTCTATCATCTTTATATCACGACGTTCAAAAACAACATGAGCTCCATTAGTTATCCAGGTAAAAAAAAAAAAAAAAAAAGAGCTGCATCCATGTAAACGAGTACACTGGGTATGATGGGTTTTAACATAAAAACGGAAAAGACTATGCCAGGCTAGGTTGATATCAAAAGGATAGGAGACAATAGGAATAGTCATGCTTTTTCTTCTCATGTCAGGGTTTAAACATAATTCCTTCCTGAGAATGAGGAAGCTCCTCGTGGTTCATAGAAAGTTGTGGTTCTGATCTTTAGCTGGAGGGAATACTGGGATCGTGTTGCCTCTGATATGCAAAACCAGCGTTTGGATTTTGAAAAGGGAAACCTTTAAACACAATGTTTGCTCCTTGAAATATCTGCATCCCTAAATCAGTGTGAGTACTGCTTACAGGCAAGCTCTTTTGTTAGCTTTCAAAAATGTGCAGTGATAACATTGACTCATTCTGTTAGTTTAAGGAAGCCTTTCTTTTTCTACACATATATCGAGTCAGGTGTATAGCTTCTTCCAGATGGGCTAAAGTGAAACCAGAAACATGTAAATCCTACAACCAAGAAGCGCTGCCCCACCGAAGCATGCTCCATGAATACCAAGCACTGATAATGAAGTCATTTGTTTGAGAGTTGCCAGGTCTCCCACCAAGGCTGGTATTCATTAGTTAGTCAGTGCCTCAGAAAAGGCAGCTTTCCCTGTGACTCACACCGAATCTAATTAGCATTTAAGCACATTTCACCTGTTTATGAAATGTAAGACCAAATCCTGAAAAGAGTAGTTTGTGCTCACTCCATTTCTTTATTTTCTTTTCTACTCAAAAGCTTCAAAATAATGACAGCTAATGAAAGGATGGTGTTATATTTACTTCTCTAGTTTTGTTAGCGAGGTTGTTTTGCCTGTACGTGCTTTTGTACCATATTCTGTACTCCGTCGAGTGGTTCGAGTTATTTTTTTTTCTTCTGATTTGTAAATGAACAGCGTAGCCAAGCAAAATAAATTAAACAAAACTACAGAGGGGAAATAAATTGAAATGTTATGCCAGAAGTTTTTACAGTGTAAAATGTTTGGAAGCTAAAAAGGAAGAAAAATACTGAGTGCTGTGGCTACCAGATTTCAGTGTGTATCTGTTATACAGTTAGATGCTACTTACCATTGACAGTAAGAGAGACCTCCTTCTCTCCTGCTCCAACACGTGGGACCACAGCCCGACAAACGTATTTTCCAGCGTCCTCTTGTCTCACAGATTTCAGTGTCAGTAGGTTATCATTGCTAAGAACCTGCAGCAGAGAAGTCAGAGATCATCAGATGCAATGACTCCAAGAGAACCTTTGCATTTGCTATGGCAGTGAGGCGGTGCCGAGGGCAGAAATCCAAGGCAGCACACAGACCATTTAATACATTAAAGGGCACCTCTTCTCAATTATTAAAATCCAATTTAGGGTCTGAGCTCAGTGGAGAAAGGCTATGGCCTTTGATGTTGACAAAAGGAAAGGTGGAATGAGTCTACGCTGTGGTTCAAAGCAATGGTTCTCACGTGTGAGAAGGTCATCAAAAGGTTGGAACAAAAAAAAAAGAGTTTTAACGGACCTTTAAGGCGTCAGAGCCATGCTATGAATTACATTCCCATGGTACCAACCAATGGGAGACGTGAAGTTTTCCATTTAGGTGTACCATTTGAATCTGTGATTGTATACTCCTTAAAACCCAGTGGAGCAGTACTCACCACTCCAGAACCCCTTTTCATCCACACGATGGTGAGGGATGGATTTCCTGTCCATGCACAGTTAAATATCGCATCTGATCCGAGATCAACCTGCAGGGATTGGGGTTCTGCAGCCATGCGAGGGCCAACTGTTGCACAAAGAAAAAAAATAAAATTAAAATACTCATATCTCAGTCATCAGAGAGCTCCAACTTTTGGAGTTCTGTGAAAAAATGTCAAACAGCAAACATTCATGCTTCTGTTGAAGGCAACAAAGAAAGCCTGAAAGTTTAGGAGCCACTCACAGTAGACATCGACGTTACGGCTGATGTTGGTGCTGCCGAGAGAGTTGGTGACTTCACAGGAAACGGGTTCCGTGAAGAAGGAGTGGTCCACCAAGACCTCGTACGTGTCTCCCAAGGCCTCTTTAATTATACTTCCTCCTTTGGCCCACCTGATATGAACAGAAGATTAGGACAAAACAAGGAAAAAAATGACCAAAATAAATTTAAAAGGAGCAAAACATAATTCTGATGGTCTAAAAAAGTTAAATCTGGTCCTCTGGACATTCAATAAAAAAAAATAAAGCAAAACATGTCCAGAGGACCAGATTTAACTTTTTTTAGATTTTTCTACCTGGATTATTGAGCATGCATCAGGATA